CCTTCAAGCTCGTTGCCAGATATACTGCTCTCTGCTCTTCTGTCCATCCATTCAATTCTGCCAATAGCTCAAATTGTGCTCTATATGCTTCCCTTGGTGCCTTCCCATCGAATTCCTGTGGCTTCCTTCGTACTGGATCACCCCTATTGCTGACATTCATATCTGGGATGTGACTTCTAACAGGACTGAAGATGTCTACATTAGAGTTTAGCTGCGGGGTCTGGAAGGGGCTTGTCATTGTCTGGGGCTGATTAAGTCGATGGTTAATGTATCCTCCTTGTGTAAAAGACAATAAATCATCCTTTAATGTATTCAATTTGCTTTTAAATTTACTAATGTTTTCCATTTGTACTTCTTGTTTTTTTCTTGTCCCAGTTGCCACTGCTGTAGTCTCTTTTCTTGTTTATTTTCTTTTTCCTCCAACAACTGCTGTAATCTCTCTTGTTTATTTTGCTGTTCCAGCTGCCATTGTTGCAGGTTCTCTTGCAACTGCTGTTGTCTCTCTTCTTGTTTCTTTTCTTTTTCCTCCAACCACTGCTGTAATTTCTCTTCTTGTTTCTTTTCTTTTTCTTCCAACAACTGCTGTAATCTCTCTTCTTGTTTAATTTCTCGTTCTTCTTGTTTCTTTTCTTTTCTCTCTAACAACTGCCGTAATTTCTCTTCTTGTTTAATTTCTCGTTCTTCTTGTTTCTTTTGTTGGTCGAGCTGCCATTGTTGCAGGTTTTCTTGCAACTGCTGTTGTCTCTCTTCCTGTTTCTTTTCTTTTTCCTCTAACAACTGTTGTAATTTCTCTTCTCGTTCTTCTTGTTTCTTTTCTCGTTCTTCTTGTTTCTTTTCTTTTTCCTCTAACAACTGTTGTAATTTCTCTTCTAGTTCTTCTTGTTTCTTTTCTTGTTTTTGTATTGCTGCCATCAAATCTGCTAAGCTGTAGTTTGATTTTCCGCCTCTCGTTTCCATCTTCTTCTCTTTTTTTTCCTATCCCACTTCTGACACCAATTTGTTACGTCTCCGTTCGTTAGTTAATTTTCCGTAACTTCGTTC